TCTCCAGTGACTGTGTCCATGAAGGGCTGCACTGTTTTTGTCTTTAAAGGAGCTAAAGGATCTCCCAGCCAAGTTTTCTGCAGAGAATTGTTGTGGATAAAGTGCAGGACTCAGAACTTGGGCTTGTTAAACTTCACCTTGTTGGATTTGGGTCCTGGATCCAGCCTGTCCAGGACCCTGTGCAGAGCCCTCCTACCCTCCAGCAGATCAACACTCACATCCAGCTTGGTGTCATCTGCAAAGATGTCCTTGGTTCCATGGGGCCCCTCAGTGTCACAATATCCCTTTGGTTGCACCAGGCCCTGCACTGTCAGCACTGGTCTCCTTGGTTCCATGGGCCCCAAAATGTGACAATGGACTCCTTTGTTCCATGGGGCCCCAGTGTGTCACAAAGGCCCCATGGTCACATGAGGTCCCACACTGTCACAATGCTCTCTGTGGTTCCACAAGTCCCCTCAGTGTCACAATGGACTCCTTGTTTCCACGAGGCCACACAGTGTCACAAGGGCCTTCCAGATTCCCTGAGGCCCCAGAGTGTCACAGTGGCCCCTTGGTTACACAAGGTCCTGCTGTGTCACAATGTCCCCTTGGTTCCATGAGGCCCCGCAGTGTCAGAAGGGCCCCTTGGTTCCCCTGGGCCCTGGACTCTCCCAATGCTCTCCTTGGTTTGGCAGTGTCACTGTGGTGAAACCCCTCGGTCACACGAGGCCCCGCAGTGTCACCATGGCCTCTGTGGTTCCACCAGGACCCAGCGTCACGGGGACTCCCTGGTACCATTTGGCCCCAGAGCACCACAATGGAGCCCTGGTTCTATGGGGCTGCACAGTGTCACCATGGTCCTCTTAGTTCCACGAGGCCCTGCAGGGTCACAATGGCCCCAGAGTGTCCCAATCATCACAGAATGACAGAATCAAATAGGCTGGAAAAGACCTTTGGGATCATCAAGTTCAACCAATGCCCTAATACCACCTTGTCACCTGTAGCTATCATGCTGGCATGGTAGCATGGAGGAAGGTTTTAGAAAGGCCTTGGGAATGGTAAACTGAGGAAAAGGATACATTCATGTATGCCCCATTGTTTTAGAAGGCTTTGGGAATGAGAAACTGAGGGAAAAGATACATTTATATATGCTCCACTGTTTCGGGAAAGTCCTGCTTCAGCATTCCTCTGTAAACCCCCTTCTCCCCACCCCTGAGCAGCTCCCATTGGACCTGGCCCCTGGGGTGGTTCTGATGTGCCTTAGCTGAACACTGTCTCTATTGTTTAGACCTTATCTCTTAATTTTGCTGTATAAAACTGTATCTGGGCAATAGCCCGGGGCCTTTGGTCACTGCAACCATTCAGGCAATACAATCTCTCTGGACAAGCATACCATTGGTCTCTCTGGGTCTCTATCTCGAATCCTAGCGGCGACTGAGGCAATGCCGCAGCTCGGACCGTGCTAACCCAGCCACTGCCTGGTAAGCCCAGGGCAGCGGGACCGCGGAAAACCCCTGTCCCTGGAGGGGACAGCTAGCCGGAGGGTCCCGGGAGGCCGGGGAGGGATGGGGGACAGCGGCGAGTGACCCTCGAAAGCAACAAGTGGCGATCAAAAAGAAGCAACAAGTGGCGCACCAACGTTGGGACTTTGCATTGGTCTGAGTGAGCGGGCTCTGGCCATCGTGGACAGTACACTGGCTAGGAGCTTTTCCAGATGCTTTGCAGTGTCACTGCGAGCAACAGAGCGGAGAGCGGTGCGAATAAACCGCCACACAGGCTGTCAGCTCCATGGGGAGAAGCTCTGGGATCACGCTGGTGGTGAGGTATTTAGGTATTTGCCTTTCCACAAAGCACGGCAGGACTGTTGCCGTGGAGACAGATGCCCATTTCTGTCCGGCACAGTCTCCGCGGGTGCAGACAGCACCTCCCACACCTGGGAAACTGCCCGCGGATTCGGGAACCGTTGCTGCAGTTGGTGTCTAAGGGACGGCAGTGGGTGAGTCTCGGTTTCTGGGGGGCAGGGGCCCGGCCAGGAGACATCAGCTGCTGTGTGCCCGTGGGGGCACACGCCAGCGCGCAGGCGTGATGAGAGTTTCTGTCGTAGCTTTAGAACTTTGGGGTTTGCTGCAGTAACTGGTTGAGATTTGCTGTGAAGGCAGCAATGGGTGTTACGCTGACTACACAGCAGAAAGAGATTTATAAACAAGTTCAGGAGCCCCTGCAGAGTGCAGGTGTCAAATTTCCTAAGAGCCTTGTGAAAGAGTTTGTCAGATGGTTATCAGTAAGTTTTCCGAAGGTAACAGAGCAAGTAGTGAGAGAAAGACGATTTTGGAAGCGTGTGGGTGCAGTGCTGAGTGAAAGGACAAAGGCAGGAGATCCCTCAGTGAAAGAAGGTTTTATGAGAATGTTTTTGTTAGTTTACGATGTTGTGAAAGAGAGTGCGGACACTCAGGGCGCCCGGGGAGCAGAAAAGAGCCCTGTTGCATCCCCTGTGTCCCCCCGCACCCCCTGTGGTAAAAAAACTAACCGTGCAGATGTAGATTTAGTTTCTAACCCTTCTCCGTCTCCTGCTTTCGCTCCCGCAGCTGAAAATCCATGCTTTGCACCCCCCATCCCCCTTGTGCAGCCCCCAAAACATGGAGGCGGCCACGCGGTGTTCCCTGTGCTCCCTGTGCCAGCCCAGAACACACCCCCAGCCCTTGCACCCCTCCCTTCGCCCGTCCCCAATCCCAACTCCTCCTCCCTTGCGGCGATCCAGCCCATGGTTCAGTCCACATTCCAGCCCACATTTCAGCCCCCGGTTCAGCCCTCAGCTCCTCCTCTCGCAGTTGCATCACCACCCCTGTCCCTGCCCTGCTCCACACGGCCCCGCCGGCTGCGTCCACTCCCTCACAAGCCGGGAATTTCCACATTCCTGCTCATCATTTGGTTCCAGGAAATGGTCATCTACCCTTCCACGGTGGATGCAAGGATTGTTCCACAGCCCAAGAAAAATGTGTGGGTCACGCTAGCCCAAGCCTTGCAACAAGATCATATGTGTTTGTCCACTGCCTCAGCAGAAAATCCGATGTCCACATGTTTAATAGGGGTTCCAAGTAAGGAGGATGAGTTCCCAATTGATCTGGTCCGTTTGCAAAAGCAGGTGAATGAAAATAAAATACCTAAAGGTGCAGGACAAGTTAAACCACCAGTGCGAAACCCCCTCATTTTGTGGCAAGGATGGGTCTCACATTTGCCCACTGCCGAGGGAGAGCCCCAGGAATTAGAACTTCTAGGCTCTGCAAAAGCTGAATTTTGCATTCAATTTGATTTTTCCCCAACCAAAGAAGCAAAATTATATGAGCATGTCAAACAGTACAAGGTAGAATTCAGAGCAGGTCAATGGTGCACAGCTGTCTATAAGCTGAAATTTACATCCACCACTGATTTCCGTCCACGCAAGCTGGACAAGGGAATGTTTCTTATCTGTGGGGACAGAGCATACCCAGGAATCCCCTCTCGTCTTATTGGAGGTCCATGCACTCTTGGACATCTGACCCTTGCTTCCCCCAACATGACCCAAATTCCAATTGGGCAAGCAAAAGGTGGGAAAAAAATTACTAAGCGGAGTGCAAGTCAATTTGATGAACATTGTGATGCAGAAATTTACCATTGGGCAAAATCCAAAAGAGTTGCCGTCTCGGTGTTTTTACCATGGGTTGCGGCAGCCAAAGCATTGAGTGAATTAGGCAATCTAGAATGCTGGGTGACCAAGCAGGCAAATTTAACATCAGCAGCCCTGAGTGACCTCCTAGAAGACGAGGAAATAACCAGAAAGGCTACCCTCCAAAATAGGGCAGCTATTGATTTCCTGCTGTTGGCACATGGTCATGGATGTAAAGAATTTGATGGATTGTGTTGTTTTGATCTGTCATGTAAAGGTCAGAGTGTCCACTCGTCCATTCAGGAAATGAGAAGCCTCATTGGTAGTGTGAAGCAAGAAAATGAGGATTGGTTTAAAAATCTGTTCAAAGACTGGGACCTTTCTGGGTGGGCAGTGTCTCTTTTAAAAGACATCTTTTACTTTTTGGTTGCATTGTTTTTAGTTCTGTTAGCATTCGGGATTCTGAAGCGAATCATCTCCAAGGTCATCACCTCGAAGCTGAAGGCTTCTGCACCAGTTTTCATCGCTGCTGCCGCCAAGGAAAGCGATTGGTGGGAAGATGACAAGCAGAAAGACACTGTAGTTTAAGAGCCACAGTTTTACCTTCTCTCAAGGCACCGTTCATCTTATTAACTGAAAAGCGGGGAGATGTTGCTATCATGCTGGCATGGCAGCGTGGAGGAAGGTTTTAGAAAGGCCTTGGGAATGGTAAACTGAGGAAAAGGATACATTCATGTGTGCCCCATTGTTTTAGAAAGGCTTTGGGAATGGTAAACTGAGGTAAAAGATACATTTATGTATGCTCCACTGTCTCGGGAAAGTCCCGCTTCAGCATTCCTCTGTAAACCCCCTGAGCAGTTCCCATTGGACCTGGCCCCTAGGGTGGTTCTGATGTGCCTTAGCTAGACTATATCCTCATTGTTTAGTACTTATCTCTTAATTTTGCTGTATAAAACTGTATCTGGGCAATAGCCCGGGGCCTTTGGTCCCTGCTACGGTTCAGGCAATACAATCTCTCTGGACAAGCATACCATTGGTCTCTCTTGGTCTCTTTATCTCGAATCCTAGCGGCGACTGAGGCAATGCCACAGCTCGGACTGTGCTAAACCAGACGCTGCCTGGTAAGCCCAGGGCAGCGGGACCGTGGCAAAACCCCTGTCCCCAGAGGGGACCACTAGCCGGAGGGTCCCGGGGGGCCAGGGAGGGACAGGCGACAGATGTGAGGAACCCCCAAAAGCAGAAAGTAGCAGTCAAAAGAGAAGCAACAGGCAGCAAAAGAAAGATTCTGGCAGTCTGTCTATTACAACACATCCTATATTTATATGCTAAAGAAAAACAAAAAGAAGGCAAGAACAATCTGGCATAAATGAAGCATTCCTGCTGGCTCGAGTGGCCCCAGCAGACAGAGCCTCTGTGATCAGCTCTCTGCAGAGCTCCAGCAGCGCAGCCAGCCGAGGCCCCACAGACGAGGCCGTCTCCCCCATGACCTGCAGAGCCGATCATGCAGGTTATCGAAGATGGAATATCGAGTTCGCTCTACTGCCTGGAGGACGTACAATGTTTGAACTGCCAGGCTTCCGACGGCGACACTGATGTCATTTGCCATTCCTTCAAGGGTTGAAAGAGAGAGGAACAGAGCCATGGTCAGTTCCCACATCTGAGGGGACCCGAGGGGACTCTGTGCCAGGGCCATCCCAGCCGGCTCTGGCCATGGCCAGCAAGGAGCAGGGACCAGCTGGATCAGCCCGAAGCTGCTGGCCACGAATCCCCCAGGTGCCCTGAAAGCTCTGTGTGCTCTGCCCACGCCGGCCCTGGTCCGCACAGGGAGCAGAGCCCTCCGAGGCCGGGGCAGGGCTCGCAGCTCCCCCAGCAGCCCCCACTGGCAGCCCGCTGCCCTTGGTCACCCTCAGAGAGGAGCTGGAGCTCTTCCTTCCTCCCCCTCAGGTGCCGCCCGGCCGTCCCTGGGAACACAGAGCCTGTCAGGCCCAGGGCACAGCTCCCTGCCAGCGGCGCCGCCAGCCCTGTGCCCACACAGCCTCCTGGCCCAGCAGGGCTTGGGCCGGGCCCTCGCCACTCGCTGCCGCCCCAGGGCACGGCTG